AATGTTTGTTTTTCTTTTTCATGTATATTTTTTCTTTTGTTATTTTTTTTCTGGGGAGGAAAGGATAAAAAAAGGCAAATGTTATGTTTCTGTTGTAGTCTGATATAACTTTAGACTGTTAAAACTATAATTTTATGTTATGATTGGAAATATGTGATATTATGTGCACAAACTCAATAAAGCATTTTTTAATTTTTTTTTAAACAAAAAGCAGAATGAATTAAAACTAGCCAAAGCTGGAGTTGAGGAGTGGGCTAAAATGACTCTGTAAATACATCTGCAGGAATAGAAATATCATAAGCAAAGAAGACTCCCCTTTAAATGAGAGAATGGATGAAATTAATGACACTGAAATGTCTGAGATATCCTGCACTTATTATTTAAAATCTGCTTTCAGTTAGAAAACTAAGTTTGGACACTTAGAAAATAAGGAAGACCTTACAAAATAGCTATTAAAAAGATTAGATTTTATTTAAAACATTTAAATACATTATAAATGTATATTACATTTGGAAACATTAACACATATTGTCTTGTCAATATGCAGTGTAGGGTTTTAAGGGAAATTACACAGATAAAGTATCAGAGGGGTAGGCATGTTAATCTGAATCTGTAAAAGAGACGAGGAGTCCTGTGGCACCTTATAGACTCACAGATTTATTGGAGCATAAGCTTTCGTGGGCAAAGACCTACTTCCTCAGATGCATGACATGACATGCATCTGACGAAGTGGGTCTTTGCCTACGAAAGCTTATGCTCCAATAAATCTGTGAGTCTATAAGGTGCCACAGGACTCCTCGTCGCTTACACAGATAAACTTATTTTGGAAACAGGAGAGGTATCAGAGGACTTGGGAAGAAAGTAAAGATTGGGGAATGATGCTGGCAGTTATCACACTGTAATGTCATTTTAAATCTATGGTAAAATAACTGAGTAGGTCTTGAGAAAAACTACTCACGAAAGTTGTGAATTTGTAACTGAGTCCTGAGAAAAAAGCATTGTTATGAGTAATGTGGAATGTCACACAAACCTGATGGTTGTTGTTTGTTGATAGAATTACAGAATTAGTGGATGCTAGTAGTAGATATGCTGTACTCTGGACACTAGTAAAGCAATTAGACCCTCTCTTTCATGAAATCGTATCTCAAATTCTAGTTGGATTGGATAGAAACAGGCATGTGGATTGAAAACTGTCTGAAAAACTGTAATCAGAAGGGCTACATTGGCCCCTGTTCCGTAATAGGGATGCTAATGTAGCACTTTGGAATAGGCAAATCAGCGGGGGATTTAAGTATCCCCCGCGGGATTTGCATTTTCATGGCTGCCGCTTTTTTCCGGCTTGTAGATAAGCCGGAGAAAAGCGCCAGTCTGGACGCGATCCTCCGGAAAATAAGCTCTTTTCCGGAGGATCTCTTATTCCTACTTGAAAGGACAATGTAGACAATGTAGACAAATCCCTTGAAAGTAGGAATAAGAGATCCTCTGGAAAAGAGCTTATTTTCCGGAGGATCGCGTCCAGACTGGCGCTTTTCTCCGGCTTATCTACAAGCCGGAAAAAAGCGGCAGCCATGAAAATGCAAATCCCGCGGGGGATACTTAAATCCCCCGCTGATTTGCCTGATAAGCAGAAAAGCATTGAGTTGTTGAGAATCTGAGTGTTGAGATGCCACAGGGCTTGGTTTGGATCCTGGTCTTATTTCTCTGATCTAAAGGAACTTGTCATGTAAATGAAATACACAGATGATACTAAAGTGGAAGTAACTGTGAATGCCAGTGAGGACAGAGAAATAATCTATATAGCAATATAAAGAGAGATTAGAAAAACAAGATTGAATTTGGAAAATGTATCTAGAATGGCTGGAGAAAAGTAACCTGAGACATACATACTGAATAAGAGGCAGGAGCTTGTGAAGCCTGGCTGTAGGAAGAGACACTGGAGGCTGGGAATAGATGTGCCTTTACAATATGATATGTCAGCAATAAAGAGTGTTGCAATTTTGAGAGCTGTATGCACAACGACATCACATCGTAGAAGAGAGGCCCTGACTATCTGATCTCAGTGTTCAGTTTGAGGTATCACACTATATATGTCAAGGTGGATGCAGTTTAGACTAGAGTGACAGAAATTTATAAGAATTATAAGGGAGAGTTGAAAAGAACTAAATCTGTGTAGCTGGGGTAAATGAAATTTAAGGGGAGAATAACATAGCTCACAAATAGAAAGACATTGGAGGAAAGGAATTAGAATGGTAGTGAGAGGAATAACCTGTAGTGATGGGATGAAATTACAAAGGGAAAATTTAGCCAGCATATTGGGGAAACCTTCCCAGATAATTATATTCAGGAATGGAATAGTTTCCCAGGGGAGTCTGAACCTCTGGTTTGTTTTAAACTAGCCCGGATAAACAGCCCTGCATTAGCCACCAGCAGATGGTCGGGACCTTTTTCCATCACTGGCTTCTGTGCTGCTTCTGATTCTAACCTCACAGTGGGACAGCCTCTCCTGCCTGCTTTGATTTCCCCTTTTCTTTGTGTCCCACAGTAAGAGGCGAGAGACCCCATATACAGACCGCCTACAGCAGTACATCAGTACACGGGGTAAGTGTTCACCAGGGACAGGTAGCAGGGGGAGTCTTTTCAGGGCTCACACACATCTTTTCCTCCCTGGAGCTCGGTTATGATCATGGCTGGGACATCTCTTCTTCCTCACAGGGCTTGGGGTGAAGTATTACATTGACCCTTCAACTTATGAGGATCCCAATGAGGCTATTAGGGAATTTGCCAAGGAGATTGATGTATCATTTGTCAAGATTGAGGAGGTCATCGGATCAGGTAATGAGAGCATGGCAACCCCTGCCCTGTGGCCTCTAGCTCTTCAACTCCCACTATGACTAAGTCCTGACCCATAGAACAGCTAGCCCCACTGACAACCAGCCCCTTCCCTGCTTCCTGGAACAATCTCCGTGCAGCGAGCCTGCATCCTCACCAGAATCCACCTTAACTGTAACCTCTACCTTGGCCCAATGCAGTGTCTAAAGCAGCATTGGAAAGGCCACCCCCAAATCCTTGTTTGCCCCCCCAATCTGTTTCAAACCTTAATACTTATCCTCATTCACATTGGAGCTTTCACCATGAATTTTGTCATAACCCTAACCCTGATCACTACCTCTTTGGTTCCTGGGGTGTTTATCTACCCTGTCCCAGGCTCCTCACTTGGGTCTCGTGTTTCCCCACCTCATGCTAGCTGTGTTTTCCCTCCCCTCCCCCCCGGCAGGAGAGTTTGGAGAGGTGTGCTTTGGGCGCCTGAAACCCCCAGGGAAGCGTGAGTACACAGTGGCCATCAAGACTCTGAAGTCAGGTTACACAGATGAACAGCGGCGGGAATTCCTGAGTGAAGCCAGCATCATGGGACAGTTTGAACATCCCAATGTCATCCGCCTGGAGGGTGTGGTCACCAAGAGCCGCCCCGTTATGATCGTCACAGAGTTCATGGAGAATGGCTCACTGGATTCCTTCCTCAGGGTATCACAACCTGGACCCCCCTCAACCCATCCTCCAACCTCTCTGTGTGTCAGTCAGTTCCGTCATTTAATCACTCCATTCTCTGCCTCTCTGGGTTTGTCCAGTCTCAAGGCCAGTTCCTTAGAGATGCGACAGAGATATTAGTGAGACACAATGGATATCTCCAGGATTAATGTGTTGAGAATTTTGCATTACTGGCCAGGTCACCCAGCTGGCAATGGGCAGACCATTTCAGAGTCCAATACAATCTCGCTGATCAGAAATATTTCCTGATATCCAAGCTAAAATGCCCCACCCTCCTTACTGTCCTGCAGTTGCTCCTAGTCCTGTTCCCCAGATCCCCTGGTTTTCAAGCTATGCATCATAGGACACTTATAGTTGGAATATGGAGCCCCAGGTTGTCATGGAGCCCTTCTGCCTTCAAGCAGTAAAACCTCCTGCTAGTTATAGCCTGTTTCAGGACTCAGAGTTCTCAGAGCTTTTTCTGACCGGCTAAACTACAACAGAATTGCACATGGATTTCTTTGCTCTTCGTGTAGCTGCTTTACCTCATTCTTTACCCGGGTTTTTTTTATGTTAATTCAATCACAGGCAGATTTGCAGGTGACTCTGCCATTGGACGATTATACAGCATATAGACCCATACTAGAGCTCTGAAAGATCAGAGCAGAAAAGACTGCAGGTTGCTCTTTTCTCTTGTAGCCAAGTCATCTAGTTGCTACAGGGGCGATTTAGGTTCAGGAGTCAAGAGCCTAAGAGAGGCAGTGTCCTCAAGATTGGATATATCCTCAGATGTGGGTCTCCAATATGAAACTTTGAGATCCACAGCCCTAGACATTCCCTCTCCTTCCTGGGTGTTTACACTTGTATGGCACCTACAGGTGGTTCTGTCTCTCACAAATTTGCCTGAACATGGGTGTATTTTGTTCTTTTAACTACCTAACCCTTCCTGCTCCAATCCCTCTCTTGTTGTTGCTCTTCTCTGCTGGTTGCAATTCCTGTGTCCACTGAGTCCTGAGTCCTTTGGGTGTGTGTCTCTCCTGTCTGCAGCAGCGGGAAGGACAGTTCAGCGTGCTGCAGTTGGTGGGGATGCAGCGGGGTATCGCAGCTGGCATGCGTTATCTCTCAGACATGAACTATGTTCATCGTGACCTAGCTGCCCGTAACATCCTGGTCAACAGCAATCTGGTGTGCAAGGTGTCTGACTTTGGTTTGTCCCGTTTTCTGGAAGATGATGCCTCAAACCCCACCTATACTGGAGCCCTGGTGAGTTACTGGTGGCGAAGGGGGCTTCTGTTAGGACTGCCCTGCACAAGCCTGTCTTATACACACTGTTAAGTCTTGTGTGTTCTCCTCTTACCCATAGAATGGTCAATAGCTCAGGTATGAGATACCAGGAATGGGGTACAATGCCTTGCACTTCTATTATACCACTTCCAGCTCAGCCTTTGATTGGGAGGGCGGGAGGCATTGGGAATGGGCTACAGAACCTTTCACCCTGAGGTCATGAGTTACAGTGTAGTCCCAGACTGATGATGACTGACTACTGCACTGTAATCAGCAGTACTAAAGGCTCTGGTGAACTCAGTGCTCTGCCACTCTCCAAACCCCATCAACTGCCGTAGGCAACAGTTTTCTCCTATGCTGGCCAGCTCAGCAGAGAGACTGAGAACTGAGGAGCCAAGGACTGAATTCCTCTCCTGCCTCTCTTTGGGCAGCAGGGCGTACGTACCACAGCTAAAATGCCTGCCAAAATCCTTGTGTGACACCTACGAGCAACACCCAAAGCAAGCATTGCATATGTAGAGCTCGGACACCCCCTGAGTTCCCTGCAAGAGAGTGGGACTGGGCCAGGGGCTGCAGCTATCGACCTGTGTGCACGGTTTAGAGGAGGTGGCTGATGAGATGGGGATCAGGTGGGTATGCTTTGCACAAGAGCTAGCTCCTGAGTGGCTTTGACTGTTTTGTCAGGAGGGAGGGATCTGCAGTTGGCAAGGACAGGCTGAAAAAGGAAGTGATGAAAAGCTGCAGACCAAGCGCATTTGTCCATAGTGTTGGATGCTGGGCTTTTCAAAGGAGTCTGAGGCCTTTGTGCCAGCTCCCATTGATATTCAGTAGGCTTTGGGCACCTTAGACTGCGGTGAAAAAGCCAGCCTTATGTAATAAAGTCCATTGGACAATTGGAATTGCAGCTATCAAAAGTTGGGTTCCGCTCCCATCCATGCCCATGGGACAAAGTGGCGTTGTGAGCACAACTTTAATTTACCCTATAAACAACCAACCAAATATTGTTCTGCCCTGGCACCACATGCTCCAGGCTGGACTGGGATCTGGGATCTGGGCTCAGCCATTCACTGAAGTCTGTTCTTTGGAATCTCCATGTCTCACAAGCACTCTGCTGTGTGCATCTCTCACTCTGCTCTTCAGGGTGGCAAGATCCCCATCCGCTGGACTGCTCCTGAAGCCATCCAGTACCGCAAGTTCACATCTTCCAGCGATGTCTGGAGCTACGGCATCGTCATGTGGGAGGTGATGTCATATGGCGAGAGGCCTTACTGGGACATGTCTAATCAGGATGTAAGTTCTGGTTGGTCAGGTCTCTGCTCTAACTGAGGTTCCTCCTGAAGGTGTAAAAGGCCCAGATATTTCTCAGTAGACAGTGTTTCATGTTCCTTTCTTTACTGTAGGTAATTAATGCTATTGACCAGGACTATCGTCTGCCACCACCACCAGACTGCCCAACTGTCTTGCACCTACTCATGCTTGATTGCTGGCAGAAGGAGCGAGTCCAGAGGCCCAAATTTGAGCAGATAGTTAGTGCTCTGGACAAGATGATCCGTAAGCCATCTGCACTCAAAGCCACTGGCACAGGGAGCAGCAGGTGAGATGGGGCATGGGCAAAAGGCGGGGAGGGGGGGTTCTAGGCCAGGATCATGACACGAAGGAGAGGAACTGGCATCAATTATGAATGAAAAAGGGCACGCGTGCGAAGATGAAACCAGAGCTTATTGCACTTTACAACTGGGGAACCCCTAGGGTGGGTGCAGCTCGGGTTATGGGAGAGCGGGAAGAGGGGGCTGTCAGGGGAAGGGAGGGGAATGCCTGGGGTAGGTACAGCTGGGATTAGGGTGAGCAGACGAAGGAGGACCTAAACTGTGGAGAAAAGGAAATCCTTACTTAAATCTGGAATTAGAAATTTGTCTTACATTTGATATTTTCCCATCTGCATTTCCCAGCCAGTTGGTGCCAGATGCAGGAGGTCAGCAGAGGGGATGTCTCTGGGGGTAGATGCAGTCAGGATTAGATGGCTCCAGAGTAGATGACGGAAACACGTCCTGCTGGCCAGGAGGGATTTTCCCGTGGGTATAGAACCTCGGCACAGCACAGTGCAAGGCTGGGGGAAGGGAGAAGTGTGTCCTGCTCTCAGTCAACATCAATATAGAAAGAGATTTTTAGCCTTGGTATACATTCAAAGGGCAGGAAAAGCAGCAAATCCCATTTATAAATGGTGATTTCTTTAGCCTTTGGCTGCTGCTTAGTCTTGTTCCTTTTGATGAAGGAAAGTGTTGGAGCGTAAAAGGCCATACTGCACGCACACGGTCAGTGCTGTCTGTTCTAAGGGGAGCAGCTCAGCTAGGGAGAGCTAGCCCACAACTGTGGAGACCCAGGGAGTAACTTTATCAGTTCCTTTTCCTTGCTCTTGGAAAGAACCCCCAGCTCCAAGGGATCCTCACCCAACCAGTGAGGCAGGATCCAGAGGGCCTGGGGCAACTGGGGATGCTTATCCAGAGTGCTCCAGGGTGGAATGCAAAGGGGAGAGAACTGTCATCTATTTTGCCGGGTGAGTTGGATTGGGTGCTTTTAAGGGAAATGGGGGATCCTGGCAGGAGAGAGCTTGGATACCAGGCAGGAGCTTGTGTGGGTGCTGGAGTGTGGTGGGGGAATATTAGTACCCATCCTTATTCAGTGCTGTCCTGCTGTTGTCCTCCTTCCTCCCTGCTCCGCGCTGACTATTGTAATTGGCTAGTTGGTGTTGGTCATATGTGAGTTGAAGTCCCGGGTTGAACTCTCAACCCTATTAGACTGGGTAACAACTAGATTAAGCAAATTTTCTCACTCCATTATATGGTGCAGTTTGAAGTTTATAGCTTTCAGGGATGTAACAAGGGCTGGGCAAACAGGGTGCTCACCCTGGATGCATCATAATTTGCTCAGGGATTGTCAAGGCTGCTTCCCACTCTGGTACAACAAATGTGGAAGTAGGGGCCTGCAAAAACACCCCAAAACCTGGTCTCTAAAGGCTTTGGTACAAAAACTTCCCCCCAAAAGCCTAATACCCAGTTTTTGGGGAATATCCGCTGCCACCACCCAAATACTCCAAGAAAACCAGGGAAGTGATCACTTGGGAAACCTCCTCCCTAAAACCTCAGGGATACCTCAAGCTCTTTCCCCCAAAGAGCCTGAAAAAAAAAAAAGGGAAAAACAAGCTGCAGTCTGTGGTAGCTGACTCGATAGCCAGCCAGATGGCCAGACCTTACAGGTAAAACTAGGACACCAAAATGACCCAATATCAGGTTAATTAGAAAAAGAAAAACTTTTACTATAAAAACAAAACCATAGTTGCAAGCATAGTGACTAGATGAAAAAGAGCCACCAATTATTGTACTCATGGGGGACCCCCTCCCCCGCCATGGGCTCAAAACTTAGTTACAAAAGAGAGAAAAAACACTTATAATAGCACAGACACATTCCCAAACTAGAAAGCAAATAAAAGCTGACAGACTAGCTAAACTTTGCCCTACTTACACATTGTGAGGAGACAGGCCTTCCCATCTCCCTGTTGCTTGGAAGAAACTGCTCTGCCTCTGTCCCCAGTTTGAAATCCAGATATTGGCTGGATTATTTATTGGCTGACCAGATACCTGGCTAGGGACAGGAGACATAGTTAAGTCTTTAGTCACCAAGTTGCTGGTCAGCCCTCATGGTTATGACACGGGTGCAAAGATGCAATAAGTAAAAATAATAAGCTGCAAAAGTAGAGAGCATGACACGTGCTAGCCTAAGGAGAGGGGAGCATAATTAATATTTTGCCCCAGGTGCAAATATACCTAGTTACGGTGCTATCAGCTTTTACCCTTGAAACCTAAGCCAGTCTCCACTGGTGGAGTGTTCAGTTTTCTCCTGAGTGTCCTTGTGGTTGGTATATGTGGGGGCATCAGAGCAAGTAAGCCAGTGTGCTGTCCCAGCAAGATATTTATAACCCGTACAGTGTACTGGCAAAACACACAAGGAGTCAGCTGCCCTGCACCTCCTCTCTGGTGCAGCTGTACAGCTCACACCCCTGCCCTTCCCTGGAACTTCATCTCTGTCTACAGCAAGGGGGCTAGGGCAATACAGTTGCACCAGAGAGGAGCTGTCAGCATTCTGCTCCTTTCCCTGCTGCAGGTCCGAGGAGAGCCTGCAGGTCAGGGCTCTCCTGAGAACTGCAGTGAGAAGAGGAGCGGAACCCCCATCCCTACCCTTCACTGGAGCTGCCTCTCTATACAGCAGGACAGGGCTGGGGGGCGAGGAGGAGTCATGTAGAGAGTCATTGGTCCCCTCTTAACAGGGTCCCCTATTGCTAAGAAATGGATTTGAATTGCACCACTGGGTGGGTGCGGGGTCTCGGCAGGGCAGTGAGTGAGGGGGTTGGGGGCGCAATGAGTGAGGGGGCTAGGCGTGCAGGGTCTCAGCAGGGCGGTGAGTGGGGGCTGGGGCTGGGCCTGAGAGGAAGGGGGCCACTTACTTTCTTTTGTGCAGCTCCCAACACTGTGTCCTAAGCCCCACCCTTGCTGCTCCTATTGGACAAATTCCAGAGCAAAAGGAAAAGCCTCCAGGAAGCACATCCCTGTGCTGCTGTTTCCCCATCCGGGGAAGGGGGTGAGCCAGTGTGCCCAGTCACTTCTTCCCCACAAGCCAGATTTGGCAGGGAGCCTGGGGGCTTTCTTGCCCCTACACCACAAAATATTTGCCGAAATATTGGAATTTCTGGGACATTTTGATGGTTTATGGGGACAGTGGGACAGAATATTTAAAATCAAAACTGTCCCAGAAAATCCGAGCCGTATGGTCTGTGTAGATATAGGGATAACAGGGGGCTCAGCCCACAAAAGCTTATGCCCAAATAAATCTTTAAGGTGCCACAGGATTCCTCGTTTTCCCCCAGTCTAGTGCATCATAATATGAACTTACAGCACTTACCTTCTTTCTTCCTTTGCAGACCATCCCAGCCCCTGCTGAGCAACTCACCCCCGGACTTCCCCTCACTCACCAATGCCCACGAATGGCTGGATGCCATCAAGATGGGCCGCTACAAGGAGAACTTTGACCAGGCTGGACTGACCACCTTTGATGTCATCTCCCGTATGACTCTGGAGTAAGTAACATGGGGATGGAGCAGAGGATGCTGGGAGCTGAGGGTTTCCGCCAAAGGAAAGACTTCCAGAGTGGAAGAGGAGCCAGGAGATAAGGAATAGGGAATATATAGAGGATACACACAGATGTAATGGAAGGGCAGTTCAGAGCAAGACAATTGTCAACAGGGTGTTTCCCTGTTATGCCCTTTCTACACTTGACGTACAACTGGTGTTTGTAACCAGCTCTGATTCCTCCCCCCCCCCCCACACACAAAATGCACACAATGGAGTTTTGTCCACACATCATTAGTGTGTGTGGAGCATGTTTGTGCATTTGCAGCTACACCCCTGCATCAGTGCATTGTGGGAAAGCATGGGCTACTCTTCCCTGGTCCTCCAGAAGGAGAGGAGGCCTCAGGAGGGCATGCACACAGAGAAACAGCAGCAGCACATGGGGAGGTACGCTTTGTGGTGTCCTTCCACACTGAGGGTGAGGGAGGAAGAGGATTAGCCAGACCAGTCACACAGGCATAGTTGGGAGCAGAGAAGGTCTGTCTTCAAAGGGAAACACTGCTGCTTGGGATATGGAGAGACAGCTAGGCCTGTGACAGCACCATTGGTACTAATCATGTTAGCTGTGGTATAAACCATGTTTACAGCCAACCATGCCACAAGTTGGGTTGAAACTGGGTGACAGTGAAGACAGGGCCTGAAAAAGGGAAGTAACAGAGAGAAGGTGGGTTGGGCCAGTTGAGAGCAGAAGTCCCGTGTTTACTGTGCCCTCTTTCACTCACAGAGACATCCAGCGAATTGGGATCACCCTGGTTGGCCACCAGAAAAAGATTCTCAACAGCATCCAGCTCATGCGAGTTCACCTGAACCAGCTTGAGCCAGTAGAAGTCTGAGGTGCAGACTATTCCTCCACTTCTAAACTCCAGGAAGGAAGTTCAGAGGGATTTTCACTCTCAATGGGAGCAAGTGAGGCAATCCCTGAAGACTTTATGCAGCAAGAGGGAGGGCATTAAATGCCCTATGGCACCAAACCAAACCCTTGCAGTAACTTGACTGCAACACTACAGAACTTGTACACTGGGGAAAGATTGGGGGGAGAGAGACCTGCTGTAACGTGGGGAGGAGCTGGAAGATAGTTTGGACAGATCAAACACGCCTGCTGCCTCTTCTCTGCCTGCAGATGAGATCAAAAACATTACAGAGCTGTCACTGGGAGTCCATCAAAGCCACACAGACATTTTTCACCCTGAACCAGGCAAAATAAAGGCAGTGGAAATGTTCCTTTATTTCTAAAGAAAAAAAAAGGAGCTAAGGTGTGTGAGGTTCTTTCTCAGTTCTATGGGTTTGGGGCAGGCCTGCCACCTGCCATTCCCAGCTTGGTGGGGGACATGTGTGACAGGAGATGGGGTGAGTGACCCGGTTACTGCTGTGCTGTCCTGTTCCAAGGCAGGGCTGCAAGGGAGGGTAACTGAGCTCAGAGCTGCACACCACTTGGTGGCAGGCAGAAACTGTGGGTCCTTGAGTCTGCACCAGGGTCACAGGGGCAGGAGGGGAACAGATCCCCTTCTGCTTGGTGCTGGGAAGGGACACAGCCAATTCTTGGATCCCCACTGCTCCATTTCCCGAGTTGGGAGTGGGTGGCTGAGCAGAGATTCCTGAATCCACCCTCTTGTGCTCTTGCCATCCTTGAGAGGAGCAGAGAATTCTGGTCCTAGGGATCAGAGAGGAAGGGAGGGGAGCAGAGCTTTCTGGTTGCTGCTGACAGATGGTTCTGGTTCCATCCCAGACCCTGTTGGGAAGGAGAGACCTGGGCTCTGGCTCCATACCAGTTAACATCCCAGAGGAACAGGGGCTTCTGATTTCCTTTCCACCCCATTGCTGGCATCGGGGAAGGTGACAGTGACCTTGCGCTCTTAGCTCTTGAGCAAAGGTTCTTCCTTTGCTGACTCCATCTGTTCCCCAGAAGCAAAGGAGCAAATGAAATAAATACAGACCAGAGACGAGGCTTGTGCAGAGGATTTTATTGGGTGGAAATGGAACTCCAAGCAGGTCACTTGATCACCATGGATCTACATCCATCTATAGCACCATTCATAAACCACCAACATGAAGGGACCAACTGAGATCAATCAGTCATGGCCCACAACCAGAGGAGTAAACAGTCCCAACCAATCACAGCTCTAATCTTTAAACAGGATGGAGAGCTCCCAGGGAACACATACTTTGGGATTCACCATAAAGTGCTTTATCTGAAAGGAAAACAGTCACTTCAGCATGATGAAGTCTAGAGGAGACAGGTTTGTGTCCCCTGCTGATAGCTAAATACCTGCCCACTGGCACATCTTCATCCTGGGTAAGGGGAGCAAAGAGAAGGTAGGTGTATGCCCCTGTGTAGATCTATGTTAGGGTGAAGCTGAGCTCAGATTTCTGGGCTTTAGAAAAGCCCTGGGGCACAAGTGGGCAGAACGCCCCAAGGGCCTTGCACTAACAAGTTTTCTCTGGTGCTTCTGCAGGATGAGATGTCCTGACTCACCCATACCCCTCTGCAGCATAGCCTACCAGTCCATAGCAAACCACTCCCCAACTCTCAGGCCTGGGGGCGGGGTGTGAAAGGCAGTGCTGTTGCAGATATTAACCCTGCATGGCTGAGAGTGGGACAGGAGCCATTTCTTTAAAGGTAAGCAACAGACTCAGAGTTGGACTCAGAAATAAGCTGTGGGAGAATTCTTTTACAGGGAGAGGGCTACATTACTTCAAGTAAAATTCACAGTTCAGACCTTCCATGCACAGAAGTAGTAAAATATTAATTTATCTTCGAGAGGGTGGGAGAGAAAAGCCCTGATTCAAATGTAAATAGAACTAAATAAAATAATCCAGGGGCTCTTTGTGCTCCTGTGAATTTCTTGCCTCCACCCCTCTTCCCCAGCTCAAAGACAGTGAGGATAAAAAAGCATCAGCATTGTAACCAGTTAGCAAGTCCATGCCTAGAAAATCCCTGTGTTGCTCTCAAAGGGTCGCCGAGAATCCAAACGACAACACAATCCATGTTTACACACACTAAGCTTGCCAGTCAAGTCTACACCCTCCAAGAATGAACCTTCAGTGCCAAAAACACAAGCATCACCATAAGGAGATGTTCTTCAGTTTCTACTGCTGCCATGGCTGTAGACTCGTCTGACGCTGCCTCTGCAGGACACGGGTGCACATTTGCACTAGAATATACATTTTAGCAGTGCCACCATATGTGCAGCACATCAGACATTTTCCCTCTTGAATGCTCTGGGTTGATGGGGAAGAAGTTAGTGATCCAGTTCAAATCCCAACGGCCTCCACCAGACTGGTGGGAACATGCACTATCGTGCAAGAGGAATTTTTTTCCTTATGTGTGTTTACATTCATGTGATAGGGGACCACTCTCACCTCCTCTCACACACTGGGCACTCCATTTAGCCCAACAAAGAGCTGCTGTGGAGTGAGCCACAGGGAATTGCAGGCGATAGGACATTTACTATTGCAAGATGTCCATGCCAGAATGTGGCCTTTGCCACAACACGAGAGAGGGATCGCTCACTGTAAAGAGCGGACACTCAGACATGGTAGACCTCTTCCGCCTCCTCCTCCTCCATGGCAAGATTGGCAGGGTGCCGCAGCTGGCCTATGGTGCTGTGCCTCAGGATCTCCCAGCCTCGGTTGGAACTCCTCCGGGACAAGCTTGGCGACACAGCTGGAGTGCTGCAAGGGGTCTTCTTCCTGTATGGAGCCACCATGTCCTTGTCTTCCAGCTCCTGTTTGTTCTGTGAGTACTTGTCAAAGTCTTCTGTGTTCTGGGATTTAAGTACTTCCATGTAGCGGTGCATCTTATGCTGCCTGCCTTCGCATCGGCTTTCCACCCTGTGGGCAAGATGAGAAAAAGGCAGTCAGGCCAGTGTGCTAGAATACCTCTCTGATATTCTTCAGTCCCGAAGCCAAAGCAGAAGCTAATAACATAAGCACAGCCATACTGGGTCAGACCAAAGGTCCATCTAACCCAGTATCCTGTCTGCTGACAGTGGCCAATGCCAGATGCCCCAGGGGGAGGGAATACAACAGATAATCCTCATGTGATCCCTCCCCTGTCACCCATTTCCAGACAAAGCTGCAGCAGCTAGTCCTCTCCCTCCAATGCAATTGCCCCTTTCTCCAGAAGAGCTACTCTACAGCATGTCAGAGACTTGAGCCACTGGGAACAGTCAGGTGGAGAGCTGCTCTGCCACTCATGTTCCACGATGACCTCTCACCCAGCAGTAGGCACTGGCCATGCTCTGCCTCCCCTGCAGTAGCAGCAACTGCAAGAGTGGTCTGGAAAGCAAATTATTGCCTGACTTCCCTCTCTCTGGGGCTTTCGAACCCAACACTTCTCACACCTGTGGAACTCATTTGCACAAAGTTTCATTGACGAAAGACTTTAGAAGGATTTGGGAAGCATTTGGCATTTCTGTGAGTAATGAAAACAGCCGCAGTTCCATTAGCAAGGATAAAATACCACAAGGGTTATAAAATCCTGCTGCTTTGCAAACCAAGGCAAATTCCAGCAGGCTGGCTCAAGGAAGGAAATTCCCCTAAGGGCTATTGCATAATTATCCGTGCTTGGGTTCCTTACGCCTGCAGCGGAGTTTCTTGTGTGAGGGTACGGTGCCTGTTTTAACAATTCCTGGATCCTGCTGCCAAAAAGCAGGGTAGGCAGCAAGTGCCCTTTGCCTCCCCAATGCAGATATTGAGGCAGTAAGCACTCACTGCCTCACCCAAGCAAAGGTTTGTTTACCTCTAGGGCCGTGGTCCCCAACACGGTGCCCGTGGGGGCATTTCCATGCGCCCGCCTGGTGCTCGGGGCTGGCCTGGCACCGGGCGCATGGCGGGGGGCGCGCCTGCCCCAGGCATGCGGCTATGGGGGGGAGCCGCCCCCGGGGCGAAAGTGTCCCCGCCCCCTGGCGCCCGGCAACCTTGAAAGATTGGGGACCACTGCTCTAGGGCAAGGCCCTGCCCACAAGCGTTCCAAGGCAAAGAGCCATGGACACTACTAGGCTTTTGTATCTACTCCTAAAGGGGAAGGAAGGCAGTGACAATCTGAGCAGTGGCAGACATTGGTCTCTCTCTTACAACCCCAGGTGCAAGGCCGGACGGAGACATGGGCGAGCCGGGCAGCTGCCCAGAGCGCCAACCCACGGGGGGCGCCTGATGGCAGCTGTAAGGGGCACGTGCCCGGCTCCCGCAGTGCCGGCCCCGCGGCGCCAAACAGCAGCGCACTTGCCCCCACGGCTGCGGGGCCCTGCACAGCCCGGCACGTGCACCAGCAGCGCTGGCTGGGCCGGACTGGTCAGCGCGTGCGCCGTGCACACCGGGGGGCGGGCCCTGGGCTGTGCGCCAGCAGCCGTGACCGACCCGCGCGTGTGCTGAGCATCCCAGAGGCAGGCCCCGGGCTTTGTGCCAGCGGCTGGGGCACAGGGCAAATGGCCTGGCCTGCAGCCTCAGGGCAGCCTTGATTTTTTCATTTGATAATACAGTGCCAATGTACGGTGGGAGCACTGCATTAGGGCTGGAGGCCAATCTAGTTAGTGTCTGCCTAGAGCAATGGTCTCCAACCTTTTTAAAGATCACTTTTTGAATTTAAGCCTCAAACCCTCATGCCCAGGGGCAGACTGGCAATCAAAGTAGGCCCGGGAAATGGGTTGAGAATGGCCCACTTTTTCACATCAAAGATTTTTTTTTAAATGTACTCTTTGACCCCCATTAGCCATACCCCTGACCTCCATTAACCACGCCTCTGGAGGTAACACTCTTGGGGCAAGATGGACACATGACCAGAAGTAAAAGGTGTCACGTGACCCCTCTAAGGACTTTTCCCACCATCCTCCTACCAATAGGGATTAGTTTGGCCCCCACCAAACCCCCCCTTATGCAACTATCCTGCAATTGCACTAACCCAATGTCTGTGATATTAACTCGGGGGCGGAGAGGCTGGGGGGGGGGGAAGGGGGCAGTGTTCCCTGTAAGAGTTTCCTCCCATGAGCAGAATGAATTTTGTGTTGTGCACCAGTACTGAATTCATGTGGCTTGTTTGGATGTGCCACTGTGGCACCCAAGTTATTAATAAATATCTTATAAATCTCTACCTTTTCCCTCTGCTGCCCTGTCTCCCTTTGCTCCATCAGCTCCCCTGGTGCCTGCTGCCCCCCAACTCCTCACCCTCTTCTGCTGTCCTGACTAGGACTCCTGCCCTTCTCACTGCCCTCTTCCAGCCCAGCACCTTCCCCCCAGTTTCACACTATGCTCCGGCGCACAGGGGGGTCACTGTGCTCTGAACATGAAGCTGTTCTGCTTTAGTGTTGTTTTAATTGCTGCATGAAGCTGATGTGAAATCTCTGTGCTCATTTATTTGGGTCATGCCCCTGCTGCTCTTGGACAGCAGGGAGAAATTACTCCCCCTTGTGCTCTGGTGTATGCAGTGCAAAAAGAAAGCTACTAGACCTAAGTGTGCTGGAAAAGCCCAGTGGCTCACTTCTCTCTGTGACTAATGCTGGATCACATCCCAAGGCGCTCCTGACAGAGCTGTACAATACTAGGAGGGGAAATTCTTCCTGACTCTTGAAGAAATGAAGATGGGTGCCCAGGGTGAGCTTTTATTTAACAAACCTAACTGCAGATACTGCTCCTAACCTGGCAGACCCTATAGTTTGGTTGGAACTTGTGCAGCACAGTTTGGAGTGAGCCTAATGTCAGCAACTAGAATGACAAATGGCTATTCCTCCTAAGAGCAGTTCTGTTCCGAAAGTGACTCTCTTGCAACATGGGCCTCTACGACTCCTGATCAAATGCACTCAAGTGTACAAATAAAGGGATAAACTTAAAAAACAACGAATAGTCTAGAAGCACCTTAAAGACAAAAACATGTAGATGGTGTCATAAGGTTTCATGGGTACAACAACATCTGAAGAGGTGGGTTGCACCCACAAAAGCTCATGACATCATCTACAGGTTTTGTTAGTCTTAAAGGTGCTGCACAACTATTCATAGTTTAAGTTTTTCCAGTTACAGACTAACTTGGCTGAATCTAATGGCCAGCTTTGTCAAAATCTCTGGGGGCCTAAAGATGCAAGCAACAACTTAATAGGATTTTCAAATGCATAATTTTTCAGTATTGGGCACCTAAGCTTTTTTGAATACCGTACCTGAATCTTAAGGCCCCTAAATATATTGAAAAATCTGGCCCTGAGAGTCAACCTCGGCTTTTTCTATCCCACCAGGAACAAAGGCTCTCAACGTCAAATTAATTTTTTTGTTCCATAGTATTCTTGCTAGAAAGATAAAGAGGTTTGGATTGGCTAAATGGACTGTAAGGTGGATAGAAAGCTGCTAGATTGTCAGGCTCAAAGGGTAGTGATCAATGGCTCGATGTCTGGTTGGCGGTCGGTTTCAAGCGGAGTGCCCCAAGGATGATTTTGTTCAACATTTTTATTAATGACCTGGATAAGGAGATGGGTTGAACCCTCAGCAAGTTTCCGGATGGCACTAAGCACGAGGCGTACAGATAGTTCGGAATAACTACGTAGTTCGAACTATCTAGCCCGTGCCGCGTGTAGCCGCGCGGCACGGGGTTCGCACTAGCCAGCTTTTAAAAATGGCGGCGCCGGCTTTATGCTAATGAAGCCCGGGAAATTCAAATCCCGGGCTTCATTAGCAAGTTCAGTATGCATACATTACCCCGCTAGTTCAAACTAGCGGGGTAGTGTAGACATACCCGGGGAGAGGTAGATACGTTGGATGGCAGGGATAGGATCCAGAGTGACCTAGACAAATTGGAGGACTGGGCCAAAAGAATCGGATTGGGTCCAATTCTGGGCACTCCACTATAGAAAGGATGTGGATGCATTGGAGAGGGTCCAGCAGAAGGCAACCAAATGATTAGGGGGCTGGAGCACATGACCTACAAGAAGAGGCTGAGGGATTTGGGCTTATTTAGTCTTCAGAAGAAAAGAGTGAGGGGGGATTTGATAGCAGCCTTCAACTTCCTGAAGGGGGGTTGCAAAAAGGATGGAGAGAGGCTGTTCCCAGTGGTGACAGATGGTAGAACAAGGAGCAATGGGCTCAAGTTACAGTGGGAGGAGGTCTAGGTTGGATATTAGGGCTATGTCTAGACTACAGGCTTCTTTCAGAAGAAGCTTTTTTTTGGAAGAGACCTTCCGAAAAAATTTCTTCCAAAAGAGAGCGTTCACAATGCAAAAGTACATCGAAAAAGTCAGCTATTTTTTCAAAAGAGAGCGTCCAACCGGAATGAACGCTCTCTCGCACGTAAGCTGTGATTGCTATGCCCTCCCCAAGCAAGCACCCTATCCCCTAGGCCACGCCAGAATCCTGTGCTTTTTCCTCTTTCCATTCTTCTGAAAGAAATCCCTCTTCCCCATCCCCACATGCCTTTTTCCGAAAGAGCTCTTTCGCAAAAAGGCTTCTTTCTCATAGAATGAGGATTACCTGTGCTGGAAAAACCCCTCTGTTCTTTCAGTCATCTTGTGGAAGATCACAATTGCAATGTGGACATTCCTTGGGCTGGAAGAGACCTCAGGAGGTCATTGAGTCCAGCCCTCTGCCCAAAGCAGGACCAATTCCAACTAAATCAACACAGCCAGGATTTTGTCAAGCCAAAACTTAAAAGCCTCTAGGGATGGAGATTCCAGCACCTCCCTAGGTAATCCATCCCCGTACTTCACCACCCTCCTAGGGAAATAGTTTTTCCTAATATCCAACCTGGACCTTCCCCACTGTAACTTGAGACCATTGCTCCTTGTTCTGCCACCTGTCACTACTGAGAACAGCCGCTCTCCATCCTCTTTGGAACCTCCCTTCAGGAAGTTAAAGATTGGTATCAAATCCCCTGTTAAACCTGCAATGATGTTTAACAGGGAGTTCGAAATAGGGTTTTATTTCGAATGCCTGTTTCACCGCCGCATGTAGACGCGGGCAGTTATTCTGGGCTTGTAAATTTCAAAAAATGGCACCCGGCTGGGACGATGCAAATCAGGCTCGGGATATTTAAATCCTGGGCTTGATTTGCAATTCCAAATGCCTACATTTGCAGCCCTATTCCGAAATAGGCTGCAAGTGTAGACATACCCTGGGTGATTAAAGTTCCTCATGAGAACCAGGGCCTGTGATCTGGAAGCTTTTCTCGGTTGTCTGAAGAAAGCCTCATCTAACTCATCCACCTGATCCGGTGGCCTCTAGCAGACATCAGCCACATCATCACCCCTGTTGTTTCCACCTCTAAACTTTTATTACTTGAGTCATTTATAAGCTGGACTACTCATCAATAGAAGACAGACTGCACTGGGTGGATGGAAGCTAGACTAGGTGTGAGTCTATAGACCTTTTTCATCTCCAATTCCTATAATTGTTCCATGAGTCTTGCTCATTCTCAGGTTGCAGAGCCCAGCCCATTTCCACATGAAATGGCTCCCTTTGATAGGGGACTGCTCTGTCAGAACAAGGTGGAGCAACATCATCTTCTTCTCTGACAGGTTTACACAATAAAATTTACTAGATTTAGTCAACATGTGAGCAAGACCATTAGAACTCACCTGAGGTACCAGCTGTCCCCCAAGCCATACTCCTTCCCACAGATCCCAGAGCGAGGCCAGAGGCATTGTGGGAGTTTCCGTTCCAGCATGACAGTAGTGGCAACAATCTTCAAAACACAGAAAAGGTGTTGACAAGACAAGAGGTACAGAGACCTGGGTACAGAGAAGTGGGTAGAACCAGCAGTAGAAAATCAAGGGGGGCATAGATGGAATCTATACTTCTCACAGACAGGAATGAAATACCTCACTCCTATGCTATGGGGCTGGCAGCTCTCATTCATCTGGACTTCCTGGACTGAAATAAAACCCTTTTCCATGGTATTTCATTTTTGGCGCTCCCCCAAACACATACATGCCTTCCACTGCCAAGAGCTCAACTCTCCCTGCACTAAACGAACCCACAAGTCTCCTCAAGGTGAGAAGAAATTCAGGCTCTGTGGCCATCACTCAGGGACTACACACATGCTACAATGGGAGCCCCTGACCAAGCCGTCTCCTAATTTCAGAGTGAGTCCATCCAGTGAGGCCCCTTCGCATGTGGCTGGGCAGCTCCCTCACCTGCGCTCTCCAAAGCTCGTCCCGCTCATGGGCCACGCGCCAGTGAGTGTCGCCCATCATGGCAATGAGCAGGTTGAGCATGAGCAGGGTGGCGATGACGGCAAAGGCGGAGTAGGTGATGCCGTACATGAAGGGCAGGTCCACTTCGTAATTGGCAGGCCCATCAATGATGGTGAGGAAGAGTTCGAAAGTGCTGAAGAGAGCCATGGGGTAGTTATAGAAGTGGCCCAGTTCATCAGGGTTTTCAGTCTGGAAGATGACGTAAAATGCTAGTGTAGAGAGAAAGAGAGAGAAAATAAGAGAAGAAGCCTCTGTGCTTTCACTGCTCTGCCCTTCACCATTCTGCCATCGCCTGAAACAACAATACCTCTCTCTATACATATATCAGAGAGATTGTGAGTCCCTCTATATGTGAGTCTGTCTGAGAGTCCATTTATTCAAGAACTCTTTCTAAACTGAAAGAGCTACGGCCACCAAATGTAGTAGGCAGCAGCTTCTTATTGTAACTTAAAGCCAGGGCAGGGTTTGGTTGTGCCAGGAAATGAGAAGTGCCCCGAATGAGAATGTTTTCTAGAACATGGAAAGGCGTAGGGCAGAGAGGAGGGATGTGGTACTGCAGAATGACCACTGGGGGCAGTGAGCATGGGGGATACTATATTAAAGAGAGCCCACAGGGAGCAGCTGAACCAGCAGGAGACTGGCCAGCTGAGGATAGAACTCCACATGACCAGCCACCAGAACAAGTGGCTCCCCTTCCCCAAAGAGTGTCAGATTGCGGGGAGTCCATCCCTGCCCCCCCAACCATGTTGCCCACCAGCCTCTCTGCCTTGGATCCCCCAGAATCACCCCAGGGGCCAGAAAGCATGCCCCAGACCAGCTGCAGAGTGGAGGGGGGGGCACTGGAGGCCTTTCCCCCCATCCAGATCAGCTGCAGGCCAGGAAGGGGTTCTGGAGCTCTCAGCCCTCCAATACCAGCTGCAGGGCCAGGAGGGAGCAGCTTAAGGCTTTGCCATCCCTGGACCAGCTGTAAGCTGTAGGACAGGCAATTGGAGGCTAGGCCAGGACTCTGAAGACTTGTTCCAACCCAGGGACCAGGTGCAGGATGGGGAGGGGCACCAGAGATTGTCCCTGTCCCGGGACAAGCTGCAGAGTGGGGAGAGGGACAGCTGCATACCGGGAGCAGGCCACTGGAGGCCTTGACACCAACCCTGTCCTGCTGCAGGCTGGAGGGGGGCAGCAGGAGGCCTCACTCTTCCCCAGACTAGCAGCAGGCCAGGGATGGCTGTTGGAGTCCAGGGCCATCCTCCAAAGCTTCCCCCGGTCCCGTGCGAACAGGCTGCAGGCCAGAGAGGGTAGCTTAGGCTGCAGACAGCTGCCAAAGTCTGCCTTCCTGGACCTGCTGCAGGATGGAGAGGCCTCTATAGGCCAAGGTTGGCTGATGGAGCTGTGTCCCCCTTGCCAAACTGCAGAGGGGGCAGCTAGAGGTCTCGCCCCTCCCCCCCCTCCTCCATCCCCAACCATATGCTAGCTGGAGCAAGAGCACACTGCATTGCTCACACAACACTGGAAATTCTGGAGGAAGAGTGACTAACGAAGTTCTACCCCAACCCATTTGCAGTAGGAAGGTGGGCTCCTCCTCTCCATGGGGTATTGGTATTTCTTCAGAAGTGCCTAGCAGTCCCCAGTATTTCCCCCCACCTATTCCCCAGGCTGCTTAGGTTCCCAAACAGCTTAATCAATAACTTCATAGGCAGCTGTGTCAATCTGCGAATGAGAGGTGATACTGAGAGAAAGGTCAGTTGGGACAATTTGTTAGGAAGGGAGAAAAAGGCAGGAGGAGGAGGAGACTTGAATTGTGAATATCAAGGGCCAAGAGGAAAGGGAAGGGAAAAGAGGGAAAATGGAACTGGCAATTCAAGTCCAGCAGTGTGGAGGAAACATAGCACAGGAAAGGCTGGGAGTGTGATGTGTTCTAAAATAAGCTATGAAGGAGCTAGAGAGCTGAATGCCTCCTTTCCAAAGAGCTGTTCCATAAAACCCTAATATTCTGGGAATGGATGTGCAAGACATGGTGCCTGGGCGGGTATCCATTGAGCCCCTGCTGCCTTTTAACTGGTCTTATGGCACCCATAGATACTGTGTACAGCATCATACCCACCTGATGCAAAGCCAAGTATCACCACTGCCATGAGCCAGCAAAAGCGCATAAGATCTCCAAATATCATCTGCAGACAAAACAAAACCAGCTGCCATGAGACCCTGCTGTCACAAAGACAGCCCTATAGCTGATGGTGTATCTACACTGCAGAGTTTTTCCAGAAAACAATACTTACATCCACACTGCTATTGTGTTATTTTGACAGAAAGTCAAAAGAACAGAGGGGTTTTTCCAGCAGCAGTAAACCTCACTCTGCGAGGAAGAAGCCTTTTTCCAAAAAAGCGTTTTCGGAAAAAGGCATGTGTGGATACAAAAGAGTTTTTTTTTTTTTTGAAAGAAGAGTCCTCCAGAAAAAAGCACAGGTACCCTGGTGGCCTCTCCATCCACAGTAATCACACTGAAATGCGAGATAGCGTTCACACTGAATGGACGCTATCTGCTATCCTTCAAAAAAGCAGATCGCTTTTTTGTTGGGCTTTAGCTGTGTAGATGCTCTCTTTTGGAAGAAGTTTTTCTGGGAGATCTCTTCAGAAAAACCTTCTTCCGAAAGAAGCCTGCAGTCTAGCTGTAGCCTGAAGCTTTGTTGTCTAACTGGTCCATGCAGCAGTGAAGGTAACTTACAGTTTCTTAGAGGTACTGTCCTATTGCAACCCAGGTCTCTGCGAGCTCTTTCAGTAGCTTCCTGCTGGCTTTTACCACAGCTCAGCTAGCTCTTGCCAGAGCTGCGTATCAGGGTTTACTTTCACTTCTGGGTCCATGTAAACTTGTCTCTCACCACCCACAATAGCAAATCAGAGCTATGGTCCATCCAGTCTTGTATCTCATGTCATATTGGCTCAGATAACTGTTCCGGTTAGTCTGCTCCAGTGGCCATAGCAGGCACTGGAAGTCAACAGACCTGATGTCTAATCCCAATAGAGTTGCTGTGAGAGCTTGGAAAATGTACTTAATCGATCTTCCCTCATAAAATACGTTGTGAAAATATGCTGCGCTTTTATGGATGGGAATTTGAGCTACATGTTTTAGTTCACCTACTACTGTAGTAAACAGGCTACAGAATGGCTGGTATTTGGTATTTCAGAGAAAAGTCAGGACACCTCCATCGTATACTTGATCAACCATCAGACACTGAAATTGGGGATTTCCTCTTGGTTGCCCAGCTGACATACAAGGACTGATAGCTGTGCCTACAGTAGTATTGCTGCGGCTGGGTAATCTTAGGCAGATACAGGCCCACCAACAGGGAGGTGGGCAAAGGGGACAACTGTCCCAAGGCCCAGCAATTCAAATGGCCTGTGGCTGCTGGCCACTGCTACTGTGGTGGTGGTGGCACCTAGAGCCCTGGGCCCAGACGGTGTGCTCTGGGTGGTCCTGAAGGGCTGGCGAGGGGGAGGCTAACCCCCTGTCCTGCCCCTTCTACCTGAGGCTCTGACCCTTCTGGGGGCCTTGAGCAGCCTCCTCCCCCTCCCCACCTGCCTTGTCAAAGGCACTGTTGGTCCCCTTGGCCAGACACATGTAATTTTTAATAGTACTAAATTGCTTGTCTCGGTATTTTTTCCAGCAGTGTCATCCATCGAACTAGATGCTACAGCCTGCTCCACCAATATGACAAGAGATGAGAGACCAATCTTGTTCTGAGTCACGTTAGTGACTTCTGTGACACTACTGTCCATTGTACCATTCCCTGCCCTGACTGTGGCCTCCCTCAGTCCATGAAAAAGAACTTCACTTTTCACCCACTAAAAACATCCACCTCATTCCCATTTCTGTTCCCATTCCCTAGCCTCAAGCACCCATTCACCTAAAGCTTCTCCTCATTCTCCTCTCTCTTGTCTGACTAGTGTCTGATGGTCCGCGCACACCCTGATTACGTCTACACTATACCCCTCTGTCAGTAGCTGGATGTCAATGAAGCACTTCGCGAGTGCAAATTAAGTGCGGATTTACATATCCCATGCTTCATTTGCATAATCATGTCATGGTGCTGTTTCGAACAAGTGCCATTTCTAAACTGAAGCCACAGTTTAGACACGTTTTTTTCAACAACGGGGCGATTTTTTGAACGATTGCCCCATTGTTGGAAAAACCACATCTAAATTGCGGTTTCAGTTTCGAAATGTCACTTGTTCAAAATAGCACCAGAACATGATTATGCAAATGAAGCGTGGGATATTAAATCCCCGCTTCATTTGTGCTTTCAAAGTGCTTCATTTACATCCCTCTGCCGACAGAGGGGTGTAGTGTAGACACGACCCCTCAGACTGGGAGTAAGATTTCCTTCATAAATTCCTCCTAGTGTCAGTTCAGAGCATCACTCCACCACTTCCATCCCAACACCCTGCTGCATAAAAAATATGCTATCTGTTGTAACATGCTCTTTCCTTTAAAACAGCCTGCTAGATAAAGCCAAAGAGATTCTTGTCCAGCTCCAGTAATTTCTGTCGCATGCCAGAAACTCTTGGGAGGCCCAAGAGATGACCCTGGGCACAAGCGGATGCTCATGGTTGGATAATTGCCACTCTCAGATCCATCTTTTCTGATATTTTTATTACAGTCTCTCTCCCTCTCTCAGTTATGCAGTGGGCGGGGTTGTCCTTACCTTCTGTATCATGATGGTGAAGGGTCCCAGCATCTGAAAGCCTCGTGCGAAGTACATGACGTTGCACCAGCCCAGCACCAGGGCAAAGGACATGGGGACCACCTCTCCAGTGGTGCTGGTAAGACGCATCACCATGGTCACCAGGATCATACAGGCATAGGTGATGCTGTAGAGGATGAAGCAGAATTAAGAGGATCAGAATTACATTTCAGCTTCCCATTCCCATCTCTAAACTCTCAAGTCTCTTCCAAGTCTCTATAATTATCCCCACCCTGACCAGAAAGGACTCTGTGTGAAATAAGGGGAGGTGGAGCCTCACATGATGACGTGGAATGGCCCTCCTAGGATGGTTTGTCCAAAGTACTTGGTGATGCCAACTCTGAAGATATCTGGAATCTAAAAAGAATACACTGTTCAAATTAGGGCTCAGTCAGTTCACACATGCACCAAACATTATGGAGTGATACTGAGTCCACTTACCTCAAGGATCAATATTACCATGGCTCCTATCACTGTGATCAGCTCCCCTACCAGCCTCAGATTGTCCTCAGGAGTAACATAAGATTCCTAAAAATAGAGAAGCACCCAAACCCACTGTCACACTGTGAATGGCCAGGAGGGGACTCTTAAGCCCCATCCAAGCCAGAGTAAAAAGGGATTCTTCCTGTAGGATTGCTCATGCCATAGTCTCCAGCACAGGCAGTTAGTCTACAAGACTAAGCATGACAGCAGGAGCCAGGAAACTTGGTTTATATCCCCAACTCTGACAGAGGATGAGTGCACACACCAGGGCCAACAAGGCCCCGTCCTTTGGGTGACGTAGTTTTTGGATGCCTAATTGAGGACACATCAGGAAAGATGCTGACAGGTTCTGAGCACTTGCAGCACCAACTGAATGCTACTGGGCTGCGTCTAGACTGGTAAGTTTTTCCGCAAAAACAGCTGCTTTTGCAGAAAAACTTGCCAGCTGTCTACACTGGCCACTTGAATTTCCGCAAGAACACTGACTTCCTACTGTCTGAAATCAGTGCTTCTTGCGGAAATACTGTGCTGCTCCCGTTCGGGCAAAAGTCCCTTTTGCGCAAAAGAGCTAGTGTAGACAGCTCAGATTTGTTTTGCGCAAAAAAGCCCCGATCGCGAAAATGGCAATCGGGGCTTTTTTGTGGAAAAGCGTCCGTGCCAATCTAGACACTCTTTTCCACAAATGCTTTTAACGGAAAACTTTTCCATTAAAAGCATTTGCAGAAAATCATGCCAGTCTAGACGTAGCCCAGCTGGAGTCAGGCTTGCCTCATGCTCCTAAAGAATCAGTCCTAGGAAAGAAAGGAGTCTCTTTACCTCAGCTCCAGCCCACACCTCTCTACCTATCCTCTCCTCCCCCACTCTGTTCCATTTATCCCCTTCCTTTTTTTCCATGTAGCTAACCCCCTTCTAAGCAAACCCATCCTACCCCAAAGAGTGGACTAACACATGTCATCACATAGTTCACTCTGCTTGTG